ATATGAATGATACAAAGTTAAATCAGTTTATTGCGTTAATCATTGAATAAATGAGTTGATATCCATCCCATAGAGCTAATGTTAATAAAATCATCAATTTTTCTTAGATGGCTGAACTAATCTTAATCAAATTTTGCTATCATATACTTTCACATCTCCTCTACCGAATAGCATACCCGCCCCTCTTCGACCCCCTTTCAACTGGGCTAAAACTATGGCAAATCGAAATGGCCCAAAAATTTTTATGTTCTAGTCACGTGATTTCAATAATTTTTTTCTGAAATAAAACTAGATATATGAAACATCATTTGACAATTTACAGATTTGATCCAGCTCATTTGGTTTAGGAGATATTCGGATTTCAAACTGGCGGTTCATTATTGACTACCTGGATGGATATCAACCCATTCATTCAATGATTAACGCAATAAACTGATTTAACTTTGTATCATTCATATCTCTTATAAAGGATTGCAAATAAAAATAATGAAATTTTTTTTGTCGACACAAACATAACAATGTTTTTTTATAACAACATAACTAGATATATGAAACATCATTTGACAATTTACAGATTTGATCCAGCTCATTTGGTTTAGGAGATATTCGGATTTCAAACTGGCGGTTCATTATTGACTACCTGGATGGATATCAACCCATTCATTCAATGATTAACGCAATAAACTGATTTAACTTTGTATCATTCATATATATAATTATCATACATGTATGGTATGTAATGTTGTATATAACCATTTAAATTGTAAGTGGGTTTAAAGTATATGACTCTATGTAAACGCAGCCCTAGACCTGATCTCCACCAATAATTTAGATTAATTTTATTTAAAAAACACAACTACCATGTTTAAAAAACATGATTATATAATTGAATAAACACACAGCAAATCAGACCCGACCTCAAAGCCGTCCAACTTTACGATAAGGACGGGAACGTTGCTAAGGCTGGACGGCAATGAGTACCCGGTGGCCAAAATTGTGCAACACCCGCAGTGGAACTATTGGGGCTTCAAGAACTCGGACATTGCCCTGATGAAAATAAACGGCACCATCGATATGGGTGAAAATATCAAACCAATCGATTTGCCCAAGACACTATTTGAGGAGCCCGTGAGAGAGCACGTGATTGTGGCAGGGTGGGGCAAACAGTTCCTAAATAGCTCCGTCACACTGTTGTTGGCCAACGAGTTTAAGCTTAATGTAATACCGAATGGCCGGTGCGCACAGGCCTACACATCCATTCAGTATATGACTTATAAGTCCCAGTTGTGCACATGGAATCGCAATCAAACAGTGTGCGAGGTCAGTTTTAAATGTTTTATATCAGTGATTATTAGTTTTTTAAATAATGTTTATCTATCAGGGTAATTCTGGCGGACCGGCCGTTGAATATAGACATGGTGAGATACAGCCTGTATAGTAGATACAGATGTAAAGTAGTTTGATTTAATTTTACCAATTTAATTATTTTGCGGCGGATTTATTTGTTTGTAGATAAACCTGTGCTGGTAGGAGCTGTATCGTTTGGAGTCAAGTGTCAAGGTAATTAACATGCCTATTTTAAGTTAATTTATTTTTAATCATGTACACAATTATAATAAAGAGTAATTTAATTATGATAAAAAATGCAAACTTATGCTTTTAGACGCACATCCGCTTGTATTCACTAAAGTCTCATATTTTTTGGATTGGATTCACAAGACTTTTGAAGACATCGTTTAAAAACCAAATTATTTTTTTGTATAATTTTTTAAATTAATTTAATTAAACATTAAACTAGATTTATTTTTCAACAAAACTAATTACTGTATTTCTTAATAATAAATTGCGTTAGATGTTTATTGTGGCATCATCTACTGTCACACATGGTAAATATAAAGGCAATTGGTTTTAATGTAAAACTATTTATATTCTTAAGAATTATCACTTAATTCATATGATATCTAATTAAGATAAAAAGTTATTATATTTTAAAACATTTACTAAATATTTATTGAAAACATTAAAATTTTTAATATATTTATTAATATTTGATGAGATTGTTACAAATAATATGGTACTATTTCATTGGTATTTGTCTATACTTTACAATGTAAAGTTTACATTAATGTGGCAAATGTTATAATTTATAAGTTATAAATATAAAGTCCATTATATATTTCCAGTATTTTCTGCCCGATGTTTACCAATAATATCTACAGATAATAGTCGTGTGTTTTATATTTATATTAAATAATTAAATAAATTGATAATAACGTAGAGATTTTGTGCCACACATTTTCCGCATAAATATAATTTTATAAATAAACACATCATTTATATTAAATTTTAATTTGTTGTAACAGTTAATATAGCATAGATTTATAAAATTATAAACTTATTATAGCTTGAAATAAAATTAGATCTAAAATCACGTAATACTTATACCTAGATAATTAAATTATCTAGTTAATAATGCTATATTGACAATATTTATCAAACTACAGTAGATATATATTTTTGTATTATGTTTTATATTCTGCTAAATAAACCACAAAACTATCATTTAATGACAATTAATGTTTAGCATAAGTGCATTACAATCAAGTGTTGCAATCATAATGTTTACTCAATTAAAGTCTAAGAATGGATTAAATTTACGACAATTTATATGACAACTAAATAGAGTAGTAAACAGGATATCATCATATGATCGTTGTTTTATACCATGAGTTTTCTTTTGGCATTTAATTTATAATATAAATACTTGTAAATTGAGTAAATATTGAGTTCACTATTGTGGAAATTTCCAGTTAATTAGTGCACTATATAAACCGAATGCATATTGCTAATTTATTTATTGTATATTGCTTACATGCTTATTTACAAGTCTACCAGCTAATTATATTTTAATCCAATTTAATATAATGTAAGTATTCCAGAGCACCAAGTTAAATTATGTTATGAAATCTTATTAGTATAAATATTTAATAATGTTTACCAAGTTTTACACAAATAAAAATATTATGTTTTCAACGAATATAACAAAAACTTTGAACATAAATTCATATATTATTAATAGTTAATGTAATGTAAATATCATGCACAAATTATTAAATAATAATGCGCTTAAGAAATATTAGAAACATCCAGAATAAAATCAATACACAAATTGAACATAATGTTATTTCGCAGAAAATATATTGTTGTTATATTATTAAATACATATTATTATTAAATAATAATATATTATTTGATATACATTTGGACAACAGTTTTCGCAAATGTCAGCCAAACCTCTGCAATACCGGTCATCGGCTGTCAATGACATGTCTGTCACCAACGGATCCAATGGTTTGACAGGAAATGAAAGCCAAAGACAACGTCCAGAAGAGGATAAAGAGGAAGAAAATGATGACAACAACGATAAAAGAGGATTAGTTTTAAGTGAAAAACAGATGCATTTCCTACGCTATGAGCCCTATCTCTATAACTGTTATGTCAGCTCTTTTATGGAGAATATGTTTCTGCAAAAGTAATATACAATTTATATGTATCTTTATTTTATTTTTATTATGTTTTATTATGTTTTTTGGTTTACCCTACAAGCTAGAGTTTATATAATATTGACGTATGTATAGTTATATTTGTCTAGTTTGTTATAAAACAAGAACTGTAAATTATTATTTTTATATAAGTATTATAGTAACAGGGATTTACTTTAATGAACTTTTGGGATAAGAGTACAAATTGTATACATTTTTGTTATTAATTTAATTAGTAACTATAAAGTAAATAGATTTTTATTAAATTTTTTAAAAATATTTCTTAAAATACATTCAGCGATCGATGTTAGGAACACATTTATTTGATATAATTACTTAACAATATAGATAGCAAACTGTACATAATATATAAATTATAGTACAGTATGATTAAGACTAAATTACTACAATTCTTTTGGGAGCGTTTAGGGTGTAAATAGTTTATTTTACATTTTTATATTTTACTAATTATAATTATTTAATTTTTATTTGTAAAAATAGATTCTGGTTTAAACTATCCCAGTACGTGCCAATATCGATAGCACCATGCACAATCACATGCATCGGGCTGATCATCAATTTGATCACAAGCGCCACACTATTCTACTACTCACCCGATGCTAAACAAACCGTAAGTGAAACAACTCTACCACCCTTTATAAAACAATAACTAACTATGTTATAAATAATTGCACTGCACATACAGGTGCCAAACTGGGCATTCCTGACCTGTGCGGTCGGCCTATTTCTATACCAACTGTTGGACGCGTTGGACGGGAAACAGGCGGTCAAAGTACAGGACACACCCATTGAGGAGGTGTACGATCACGGCTGCGACGCTGTGTCCGCTTTTCTGGTCACCCAATCCGTCACAATCGCCGCTCAGTTGGGCGACAGTCCTGTCCAGCAGTTTATCTTCTTTATTGTGCCGTTGATTGCCTTTTATATGACACACTATTGCTGTCACGTGACAAGGGTTATGGTGTTTGGCCGGTATGTTAGCACAAAATAATAATCATATTTGATTAAAAACATTTTAATGTTTAAATTGCAAAACAATTAACTACCCTGTTTAATACTATCCTAGCAAACACTCTCACCATAATCAATTTATTATGTTTAATCACAAATAAATACTACTAATACTAACAATACTAATAAATATATTTGAATTTCTCATAGGATTGACGTGATAGAGGGTCAGTGGGCTATCATAATAGTCCATACCCTGGCCTACGGGTTTGGGCAGCAAATATTTATGCGCCGATTGTTTCTGTTGGACATCACCGTTAGGGATGTGCTCTTTGCGCTGACCATACTATCACTAATTGGATCCATTGTGAGCAACGGGCGGTTGATATTAGGGGCCGACACACCGATGGACCGATACGTACGGATCCCTCGTATGACTGGTCTCACCAAATGGTATCCATTGGTTTCGCTCGTGATTTTGATCCTATTGTCAGTCATGGGATTCAATAGACAAGTGTTTCACACAAATCCTCTTTTATTTATTATTACATTTGGTTTGGCTTTTGCTAAGTTGTCGTTTAAATTGCAGGTAATGTCTGACTATTAAATAATATATATAATTAATAATTTTAAATATATTTATTTTATAAAATTACTCATAAAGTATTTAATAATCATTTAATTTCAAAGCTATATTAATTTTTTAATTGTTTATTTTTCTAATTACAAAATAGATGATGAATGTAACCCACGGAGTGATGTCTAGATTTGACACATGTATTATCGCACCCGTGGTTTTGGTCTTAAATTCTTACGCTAACCTATTGTCAAACAATACATGCCTAGTGGTGGCCCTCCTGTACGCCCTTTGCGATCATGTGTTGTATTTTTCGCTCTCAAGTATAGATATGAAGAGGGCTTTAGATCTGAA